TTGTTAGGGGATACATGGTGTACACAAGACTGTTAGGAACACATATGGTGTATGCAAGGTTGCTAGGGACAAATATGGTGTACATAAGCCTGCTAGGGACACATATGGTGTACACAAGCCTGTTAGGGATACATATGGTGTACACAAGCCTGCTAGGGATACATATGGTGTACACAAGCCTGCCAGGGATACATATGGTGTATACAAGCCTGCTAGGGACACATATGGTGTACACAAGCCTGCTACGGACACATGGTGTACACAAGCCTGCCAGGGATACATATGGTGTACACAAGCCTGCTAGGGATACATATGGTGTACACAAGCCTGCCAGGGACAAATATGGTGTACACAAGCCTGTTAGGGAAACATATGGTGTACACAAGCCTGCTAGGGATACATATGGTGTACACAAGCCTGTTAGGGATACATACGGTGTACACAAGCCTGCTATAGGGACACATATGATGTACACAAGCCTGCTATAGGGACACATATGGTGTACACAAGCCTGCTAGGGACACATATGGTGTACACAAGCCTGCTATAGCACATATGGTGTCCCTGCTATAGGGACACATACGGTGTACACAAGCCTGCTATAGGGACATATACGGTGTACACAAGCCTGCTAGGGACACATATTGAGTACTCAAGCCTGTTAGGGACACATGGTGTACCGAAGCCTGCTATAGAGACATATACGGTGTACACAAGCCTGCTAGGGACACACATGGGGTACGCAAGCCTGCTAGAGGCACATATGGTGTAAACAAGCCTGCTATAGAGACACATACGGTGTACACAAGCCTGCAAAGAACACATTATGTGTACACAAGCGAGATACAGGCACATATGTGATACACAAGCACGGCCTCTCGATAACCACCACCCACACACAACCCTCACCCCCTTCCCCACCCACCACACACAGCCTCCCCCCACCACCACACACAGCCCTCCCCCCACCACCACACACAGCCCTCCCCCCACCACCACACACAGCCCACCCCCCACCACCACACACACAGTCATCCCCCCTCATCTCCCCCACCATCATTCGTTCCTCTCCCCCCCCCTTCCCCACTACCCGCACTCAGCCGTCCCGCCACCCACCCCCATCCCTCCCCTCCCCCCTCCCCCCACAGAGGTCATAGGTCACGTCTTCCCGGCCAGGCTGATGGAGGAGCTATAGAGAAGCAGTCAAGCACGATCATCACAGAGCACACTGTAGGCGTCCTCAGACCTGAAGCTCGGGGCTAACGAGGCACCACCGCCCCCTTACCACAAGGGCCATCCTCTCGCGTTAATACGAGGAGGTTATCAACGCAAGTGCCAGGTGGAGTGTAGCACTGTTCTGTCCCTCCACCGGGCCGTGTGACGTATCAGCCTCTGACATCAGCTGGAGGAGATGTCAGGTACATCACACCTGCGACTTCGCTCTCCGATTAAGAGCCAAATATATTTTTGTTCCAACCTGAATTCAGATTTGTGTGTTCTCTCCTCTGAGTTCCATCCGTCTCTTGGCTACTTGAGGCCCAACTTGAGGATTAGCTGAGACTTGTGGCTCAGCACGGACTTGAGGCCCAGCTGGGACTTGTGGCTTAGCTGAGACTTGTGGCTCAGCACGGACTTGAGGCCCAGCTGGGACTTGTGGCTTAGCTGAGACTTGTGGCTCAGCACGGACTTGAGGCCCAGCTGGGACTTGAGGCTTAGCTGGGATTTGAGGCTTAGCTGGGACTTGAGGCTTAGCTGGGACTTGAGGCTTCGCTGGGATTTGAGGCTTAGCTGGGACTTGAGGCTTAGCTGGGACTTGAGGCTTAGCTGGGATTTGAGGCTTAGCTGGGACTTGAGGCTTAGCTGGGACTTGAGGCTTCGCTGGGATTTGAGGCTTAGCTGGGACTTGAGGTTTAGCTGGGACTTGAGGCTTAGCTGGGACTTGAGGCACACCACGGACTTGAGGGTTATCACTCACTCAAGTTTGAAGACCAGGAGTGCCAACAGCATCGTCTAGGGGACCGGGGACTCTCAGTCAAGGAATATTCTTGATGGAATTCAAGGTCAATTTTGGAGGAATTTAGACGACCTTCACATTGGTGGTTCCTTCCGTACCGGTCAAGCACCTGAGACCACCATATCCGAATCCGGACTGTGTCCCCATCACCAGACGCGATCTGGTCGAGGCTACAGTGTGGTCGAGGCTACGGTGTGTGGTTGAGGCTACGGTGTGTGGTCAAGGCTATGGTGTGTGGTCGAGGCTACGGTGTGTGGTCGAGGCTACGGTGTGTGGTCGAGGCTATGGTGTGTGGTCGAGGCTACGGTGTGTGGTCGAAGCTACGGTGTGTGGTCGAGGCTACGGTGTGTGGTCGAGGCTACGGTGTGTGGTCGAGGCTATGGTGTGTGGTCGAGGCTATGGAGTGTGATCGAGGCAACGGTGTGTGGTCGATGTGGGAAATTTTACTCACCATATCTATATTATAATCTAAGAAATGTATTATTTCTATATCATATCTATATCATATCTAAATCATATCTATATCATATCTAAATCATATCAGAATCATTATTGAATCACTATAGATTCATTATACATCTTGATCCTAGATGACAATGCCACTAGGATCACATACACCATAGGGGCCCTATAGGTGCCTACGTGACTTTGTGCATGATCTCTCAAGGATCCAGAAGCTTCTAGAAGGATTTCTTAATTAAAAAACTTTTGGAACATGATTCGATTTCCGGTAGGGATTATAAATCGAATCCTTATTAAGAATCAGTAGTGCTAGCAAGTACTACCTATAATCTTTATATCCTATATCTAATTATATTATAATCACATCTTATCTCAATCATATGTCTAGACAGTAAAAATAATCAATCAGTATTCGTTGAAGGCTACCGTGCTCATGGAGTATGGGGTGGGGTGATGGCTGGGGAAGAAGCGCCCACCACACCCGAGGGCCAGAACGCGTTTGTTTACAAAGGAATGAACAACAGTGACGGGGCCTTAGCGAACATTATTTAGCTCAGGACACCTTATCGAATTATCTTTATCACCAGTGAACACTCTCTAGAACTGGGGGAGTACCTGGACAATATATCTACAAGGAAAATTCCTAGAACATTTATATCTATACGTGAAGAGTGGAGTGTTACCTATCGTTCGTTACGGCTCGTGACCCTACAACAGCCATACTTTAATATGTCTAGGGATACTACAACTGCTGTTGTCTAGAGCGGGTCACCAGTGTAAACCCCTAATTGGTACAAATCACTTAGTAAAATTTCTCCTTTAGGACTGAAGAAATATACATATAAATTTTAATATATATATTAACAATATAATCAAAATTATATTAAGTACAGATGGACCAATATTTCACTATTAAAGTAAAAATCAAAATACTGTCTCTCCCAGAATAAAGATCTACTAAATGACACAACAAAAAGTAAACAGACTTATCTCCTAAAGATGTTACCTCTCCTGGTCCGTTATAGCTACTGACTCTCGCGCGTCTCTACTCATAATTCTCTCCCCCTCTGCCTCATCCAGGATGAGGGATGGAAAATACAGACTTTTTAATATTTAAAACTAATTGAACAACCACTTGTTCTCAAAATACATAAGAATGCAAATAAAATATAACACTTTCAAAATATATAAGTTACAATGCCACCTGCTTAATTACAGTAAATTAACATATATATATATATATACATATATATATATATATATATATATATATATATATATATATATATATATATATATATATATATATATATATATATATATATTAAAAGTGACATCTGGAACTCCCATAACTGAACAGGTCCAGCAATTCTAATTTCCCGAATCTAACAGGTATTAGACGTGTGAAGAGCAACCGCGCTCCTGTCCCCACTGATATCGCCACACCACACGATAATTTACAAAAATTATAATATATGTACATATACAGGTAATGATGAAATGGAACAAAATAAGTTTATTTAAATTTATATATGTATCCAGCTAGGAGTACGTAACATGGAGCACACAGTGACACTGTCTCCACCTCCATCTTCATCAACTATCATCCTTCTACAACTGTAATTAAGGACAATCACGTAGCAATGCTACTAGAACATCATACAGCAAAGCTGTGATATAAAATATCGTGCCAAAACTCGCAAAAGAGAGTTATCCAGTCTGGCACACTGTCAGACAGGCACCCAGCAGGCAAAGAAGTATATTGAATGTTATTACAGTAGTGTATTAATTGGCCAATTATATGCTTGTATGACTTTAATATCCTATAAGTTTGTCTGTTGGTTATAGAGCGAGGCAACGCCTCATATTTCAGTAAGTTTATTAATATTGTAGTGCAGAAGTTGAAACTTTAAGCACCAAACCTCATGAGCGTCAACTGTGTAAGAAAAGATTCAGTCATGATAAATAAACAAAACCTTATGAGTGTCCATTTTGTGGGAAAAGATTCAATCAGGCTGACCTTACTACTTCATATAAACTGAATATATCTGTATATATACTTGAATATATAAATTAAGTTAACAATTGCTTACTTAGTTATTTTAAGTTATCATATAAGTTCATTTAATTGAATATAATTTTTAGTACCTAGTTAACAGTACTTAGACCATATTTAAGGTTATTTAATATCATACTTCTACAATTTGCAATTTAAATTGTTGTTTATAGTATAAGAATATATTGGCTGTTAATAGTTATGATGCTAGGCTAGACTATGTATGTTTAAATCTCTGATTTATACAGAACCAGTTTTCAGTCATAGAACTGAATTTATTAAATCTTATCCTTGTATAATATACAAGCTGATGTGAGATACCTGTTGGCAGGTGGACTGTGGATCTTCAATCAACCTATCAACTAATTCACCCCACCTGCCCCTTACACAGCCCACAATCTGTCAGCCTTACAGCCCACAATCTGTCATTAAAAAAAGAGGAGCTAGGATTTACGACCCTAGTTAGAGACTTTAGTTGAATTAATTTGCAGACAGTAATTTTTAATTTAGTTCAGTACAAGTCCCTGGTAGTTCTCCTCTCATATCAATCCCAGCAGGTTTTTCCCACAGTCGAGGCTACGGTGTGTGGTCGTGGCTATGGCGTGTGATTAAGGCTATGGTGTGTGGTCGAGGCTATAGTGTGTGGTCGAGGCTGTGGTGTGTGGTCGAGGCTACGGTGTGTGATTGAGGCTATGGTGTGTGGTCGAGGCTGTGGTGTGTGATTGAGGCTATGGTGTGTGGTCGAAGCAACGGTGTGTGGTCGAGGCTACTGTGTGTGGTCGTGGCTACGGCGTGTGGTCGAGGCTATGGTGTGTGGTTGAGGCTACGGCGTGTGGTCGAGGCTATGGTGTGTGGTCGAGGCTACGGTGTGTGGTCGAGACAACGGTGTGTGGTCGAGGCTACAGCATGTGGTCGAGGCTACGGCGTGTGGTTGTGGCTACCGTGTGTGGTCGAGGCTATGGTGTGTGGTCGAGGCTATGGTGTGTGGTCGAGGCAACAGTGTGTGGTCGAGGCTATGGTGTGTGGTCGAGGCTATGGTGTGTGGTTGAGGCTACGGTGTGTGGTCGTGGCTACAGTGTGTGATCGAGGCTATGGTGTGTGGTTGAGGCTATGGTATGTGGTCAAGGCTATGGTGTGTGGTCGAGGCTGTGGTGTGTGATTGAGGCTATGGTGTGTGGTCGAAGCAACAGTGTGTGGACGAGGCTACGGTGTGTGGTCGTGGCTACAGCGTGTGGTCGAGGCTATGGTGTGTGGTTGAGGCTACAGCGTGTGGTCGAGACTATGGTGTGTGGTCGAGGCTATTGCGTGTGGTCGAGGCTACGGTGTGTGGTCGAGGCTACGGTGTGTGGTCGAGGCTACAGTGTGTGGTCGAGACTATGGTGTGTGGTTGAGGCAATGGTGTGTGGTCGAGGCTACGGTGTGTGGTCGAGGCTACGGTGTGTGGTCGAGGCTACGGTGTGTGGTTGAGGCTATGGTGTGTGGTCGAGGCTACGGTGTGTGGTCGAGGCTACGGCGTGTGGTCGTGTCTACGGCGTGTGGTCGTGGCTACGGCGTGCGGTCGAGGCTACGGTGTGTGGTCGAGGCTACGGTGTGTGGTCGTGACTACGGTGTGTGGTCGAGGTCCTGCTCTTCACTGTATGGCTGCTCTTCCACGGAGCTCAGTACCTTCCACAACCTTGGAGTCTTATCAACTACTCCCTCTCTGCTGGCTTCGAAGTTCTCAGCAACTCCTTCCCCAGACAAACCTGTAACCCATCGACACGCCAATAAAAGTTCCTCTATAAACACATAACTGAAATGAATCACACACAATAAATGTTTCATTTGACATCTCTCTGCTTTCTATATGCTGTGAGGTGACTCCCCCACGTTTGGGCTGGTCCATTCTCTGCCTTCTCGGGTGGCCCACTCACTGAGTCGCCCACCAGCGGTCAGAGTGGACGGACGTCGCTCCGCCCTCCAGGACGTTCCTCCATCATTACTCTCTTATTTTGGCCTTCTGCCTCATCAAAACATTCCTAACATATCAACAGACACTTGGTACGATCGCTGGGCACACGATCCACTATAGGCAATCACTTTTAACTAGTTAAATTTGGGCTTATCACAATATTGTCTCTTGCGAGGGCGCTCCTCGATGACGCCCGACCAGGTCGCACACACTGCTGCCCCTGAAAATGTTTCTGGGCGGCTTCAAATCTCTTCCTGCCGTCCAGGACTTGAGACCACACGTTCCCAGCTCGATTCCACAGCTGATACGTCTGCACACTTCCTTCCTCTTGAAGATATGTTAACTAGGGGCTCCTCTCTAACAGGAGCTCACACGGAGAGCAGCTTTCCCTCACGATGTCTGGTGCTCAAGTAGGGTTAAAGCCCTCCAGAAGCAAGCCTCACACTACCAGCAAACTCTCCACATCTCATGTCAAGTCATTTACTTATATTCTTGATCACTGCCCATACTCTTAAACTATTTATCAAATCTAACCAATTATTTTACGTATGTATCTCCGTGACTATATTTCTTTGACCTCTTATTTAGGTCAGGTCTTGCAGAATAACTCTCAATGTAGACTCGTTTTTCAGCTACCTGGGATCATAACAGTCGTGACTACGGAGTGTGGTCGAGGCTTCGGTGTGTGGTCGTGGCTACGGTGTGTGGTCGAGGCTATGGCGTGTGGGTCGAGGGTACGGTGTGTGATTGAGGCTATGGTGTGTGGTCGAGGCTACGGTGTGTGGTCGAGGCTACGGTGTGTGATTGAGGCTACGGTGTGACACACACACACACCTGCACTAGACAACCATCACCAGATGTGACACACGCACACGCACACCTGATGTTACATACATATGTGTATGTAACATCATTGTGGGTCAGGGAAATGGCTACTGGAGTTTAACACCAGTAAATGTAAAGTTATGGAAATGGGATCAGGTGATAGGAGACCAAAGGGACAGTACACAATGAAGGGGAACAGCCTACCTGTAACGATTCGAGAAAGAGACCTGGGAGTGGACGTAAACAACCGATTACTTTTACAATTTATTTTGGTAGGTACATACATACAATAAATATTTACAAGGATTGTTTAACTTATAGGTAGAGCTAGTACATACAATGCCTAAAGCCACTATTACGCAAAGCGTTTCGGACATAGACCGATTTACAACTGTAAACAACCGATTGCTGGAAAGGCGGGATCCAAGAGTCAATGCTCGATCCTGCAAGCACAAATAGGTGAGTACATATGTGTGTGTATGTGTTGAATATATATGTTCATATAATGAACCTTCACCAGATGTGACACACATACACACACCTGCACTAAACAATGCCATTTAGGCAATCATGAACAAATAAAACACCCTGCATATTATGCCCCACTTACCAGTAATGTTAGTATTCATCTAATGATTCAATAGTTAATATTCTATTACAATTCAGTTCACCGCAATTCATTACATGTATAACAGTCTCAACACTGACTTTGTAATTAATTTATACATTACAGAATAATTGCATAGCTCGACGCTTTAGCACATTAGTAGTTATGTAATATTTTACTGGTTGTAATTTAGAGGCTGAGGACGGCTTTCTGGTCGAGTAGCCTCGAGTAACACTTGCTGGTCGAGTAGCGTCATGTAACACTTGATGGTCGAGTAGCGTCATGTAACACTTGATGGTCGAGTAGCGTCATGTAACACTTGATGGTCGAGTAGCCTCGAGTAACACTTGCTGGTCGAGTAGCCTCATGTAACACTTGATGGTCGAGTAGCCTCATGTAACACTTGCTGGTGTAGTAGCCTCATGTAACACTTGCTGGTGTAGTAGCCTCATGTAACACTTGCTGATCGAGTAGCCTCATGTAACACTTGCTGGTGTAGTAGCCTCATGTAACACTTGCTGGTCAAGTAGCCTCATGTAACACTTGCTGGTGTAGTAGCCTCATGTAACACTTGCTGGTGTAGTAGCCTCATGTAACACTTGCTGGTCAAGTAGCCTCATGTAACACTTGCTGGTCAAGTAGCCTCATGTAACACTTGCTGGTGTAGTAGCCTCATGTAACACTTGCTGGTCAAGTAGCCTCATGTAACACTTGCTGGTGTAGTAGCCTCATGTAACACTTGCTGGTGTAGTAGCCTCATGTAACACTTGCTGGTCAAGTAGCCTCATGTAACACTTGCTGGTGTAGTAGCCTCATGTAACACTTGCTGGTCAAGTAGCCTCATGTACCACTTGCTGGTCAAGTAGCCTCATGTAACACTTGCTGGTCGAGCAGCCTCATGTAACACTTGCTGGTGTAGTAGCCTCATGTAACACTTGCTGGTCAAGTAGCCTCATGTAACACTTGCTGGTCAAGTAGCCTCATGTAACACTTGCTGGTCAAGTAGCCTCATGTAACACTTGCTGGTCGAGTAGCCTCATGTAACACTTGCTGGTCAAGTAGCCTCATGTAACACTTGCTGGTCGAGTAGCCTCATGTAACACTTGCTGGTCAAGTAGCCTCATGTAACACTTGCTGGTCGAGTAGCCTCATGTAACACTTGCTGGTCAAGTAGCCTCATGTAACACTTGCTGGTCAAGTAGCGTCATGTAACACTTGATGCTCGAGTATTGTGGGGAAAATCTCCTAGCAGGAATTTATTTATTTATTCAATGATTTATTAAGTATTTATTTTACTACATTATTTCTTTATTTTTTTTAATTAAAGTGAACTGTATGATATTTTACTGGACTGTATGATTCTATATTTTGTCGTAGGAACGTCCCTTCACAACCTGGGTGAGGTGGTATTTATTTATGGCATAATCGAAATTAATCGAGTGGCTCAAATTCATTACTAATGTTTAATCTACACTGGTGAGTGTTAAATAATTGTGGAACAGCTTAGCTGTTTTATAGAAGGTGGTCTGGTTAAAGGAAAATAGACGCGTCCACAAAACGTAAGCTGAATCTCTCGTAGACCAGTCTATAATGGCGTCGCAGAGTGCCTCGTGGAACCTGGTGATTTGTTGATATTGTTTCAGGTTGTCACAAGTTACCTCACTGATTAATACAGCGTGGAAAATGTAAAAACATCCATATAACAGATATGACATGACATTGCTTATGGTAAATTATTATGAGACGCTTACCCATTTGTTGGGTATTATACTTCCTCATAACAGCAATGTAATTAACTAATACTGACAGGCCTGGTAATATAGAGAATTAAGTGAAACCGAAAATAAGGTACTCACCGTAATTGGTGAGGTCGCTGTGGCAGATTGACTGCAAGACAACTCGTGAATTTGAAGTATTGAGAGCACTGAATAACGCGTGAGGAATCTCACGAGAAGTCTACTTACTCTTCAATGACTCTTTCCCTTCATCCCCGATCAAGCGATGCCTCAAGAAATCGGTTCAATTTTCTGCCTTTTATGACAATGGGAGGAAGACCATAGTTTTATTTGTAATTTTATTATGTCCAGTCATAGATAATACTTTTTTGTGTCGATGTTAATAACTAGACTGGTGTTTAAGACGATTGATTAATATTTAGGGGTGTATATTCTGGTGACGTGCCAATTATATTATTTTCGTGAGGAAAATTCCACAATTATAATTTTCACAGATACACAGACTCTGTGTGTCTGTGATAACTCTAGCACCTATGTGTCTGTGATCACTCAAGCGCCTGTAAGTCTGCGATCACTCTAGTGCCAGTGAGTCTGTGATCACACTAGTGTCTGTGATCACGCTCGCGTCTGTCAATCTGTGATCACTCTAGCGTCTGTGAGTCTGTAATCACTCTATGGGAAATTTTACCCACTGTATCTATATTATTATCTAAAAAATGTATAATTTCTAAATCAATATCAAAATCATCCCGGAATCACTACAGATTCACTATATCCTATCTCCTATATCTGGATCCTGCATGACAATGCCTATGATCACGTACGGCCTTTGGTTGCCTACATGACTTGGTGCATGATTTCTCAAGGATCTAGAAGCTTCTAGAAAAATTTCTTAATTAATAAACTATTGGAACATCAATCGATTTCAAGTAGAGGATTAAATCAAATCCTTAATAAAAATCAGTAGTACTAGCAAGTACTACTTATAATTTTTAAATCCTATATCTAATTATATTATAATGACATCTTATCTCAGTCATATGTCTAGACAATAAAAATATTCAATCAATAAACTCGACAAGAGAGTTAACCAGTCTGGCAACTAGTCAGACAGGCACCCGGCATTCAGAGAAATATATTGAGTTATTGTAGTGTGTTGGTGGCCAATTGCATGCTTGTGTAACTTAATATATTAAATAAGTCTGTTTGTCGTTAAAGGGTGAGGCAACGCCTCATATTTCAGCGAGTATTTATTACTATTGTAGCGACTGAATCTCTTCCAAGCATTTAGACACTTGTGAGATTCAAAGCCTCATGAGTGTCCCGTGTCTGGGAAGAGGCCAGTCTAGCTAACTGAATCTCTTTATATAAATTGAATATATCTATATATATACTTGAACATATAAATTAAGTTAACAATTAATTGCTTAGTTATCTTTAATTTATAATGTAAGTTTATCTAATTGAATATAATCTCTTGTACTGAGTTAATAACACTTAGACCACATTTAAGGTTGTTTGATTGTATATTCATAAATATCTTACTTCTACAATATAAATTGTTGTTTTTATAGTATAAGAATATTGGCTGTTATAGTTATGGTGCTAGGCCAGAATGTGCATATGTTTAGATCCCTGATTTAAACAGAACCAGTGTTCATTTATTGAACTGAATTATTAAATCTTATCCTTGTATTAACAATACAAGCTGATGTGAGAAACTTACCTGCAGGTGGATTGTGGATCTTCAATCGACTTCCCCATTCATTCACCAGGACCCCACCTGCTCCTTGCAGCCCACAGTCTGTCATTAGGACAAGAGGGGCTAGGATTTACAAGACTAGCTAGAGACTTTAGTTGAATTAATTTTGCATACAGTCATTTTTAATTTAGTACAGTACAAGTCCCTAGTGGTACTCCTTTCATATTAACAGAGTCCACTTTGTGAGCAAAATTCGTCAGAGTCCAGTTTTTTACCCAAAAATGATCAGAGTCCAATTAACAACAGAAATTCATCAGAGTCCAGTACAAGTCCCTAGTAGTACTCCTTTCATATTAATCCCGAAAGTTTTTCCCACACGCTCAAGCGTCTGTTTGTCTGTGATCACTCTAGCGCCAGTGTCTGTGATCACTCTACAGTCTATGATCACTCAAGAGTATGTGTGTTTGTGATCATTCTTGCACCTGATATTCTGTGATCACTCTAACGTCTTTGAGTCTGTGCTCACTCTAGTGTCTCTGTCTGTAATTACTCTAGCATCTATGTCTGTGATTACTATAGCGTCACTGATCACTAACACCTGTGGGTCTGTGATCACTCTAGCACCTGTGAGTCTGTGATTGCTCTAGCGTCTGTGATCGCTCTAGTGTCAGTGAGTCTGTAAGCACTCTAGCATCTGTGATCACTCTAGCGCCTGTGAGTCTGTGATCGCTCTAGCGTCTCTGATCGCTCTAGCGTCTCTGATCGCTCTAGCGTCTGTGATCACTCTTAACACCTATGTGTCTGTGATCACTCAAGCCTCTGTGTGTCTGTGATTACTCTAGCGCCTGTGTGTCTGATTACTCTAGCGCCTGTGAGTCTGTGATCACTAGCACCTGTGTGTCTGTGACCACTCTAACACCTGCGAGTCTGTGATCACTCTAGCGCCTGTGAGTCTGTGATCACTCTAGCGCCTGTGAGTCTGTGATCACTCTAGCACCTGTGTGTCTGTGATCACTCTAGTGTCTGTGATCACTCTAGCACCTGTGTGTCTGTGATCACTCTAACACATGTGTGTCTGTGATCATTCTAGCACATGTGTGTCTGTGATCACTCTAGCGCGTGTGTGTCTGTGATCACTCTAGCTCCTGTGTGTCTGTAATCACTCTAGCGCCTGCGTGTGTGTGATCACTCTAGCACCTGTGTGTCTGTGATCACTCTAGCACCTGTGAGTCTGAGATCACTCTAAAGTCTGTGTGTCTGTGATCACTCTAACGCCTGTAAGTCTGTGATCACTCTAATGTATGTGTGTCTGTGATCACTCTAGTGTCTGTGATCACTCTAGCGCTTGTGTGTCTGTGATCACTCTAGCGTCTGTGATCACTCTAGCACCTGTGAGTCTGTGATCTCTAGTACCTGTGTGTCTGTGATCACTCTAACACCTGTGTGTCTGTGATCACTCTAGCACCTGTGTGTCTGTGATCACTCTAGCGCCTGTGAGTCTGTGATCATTCTAGCGTCTGTGTGTCTGTGATTACTCTAGCGTCTGTGTGTCTGTGATCACTCTAACACCTGTGTGTCTGTGATCATTCTAGCACCTGAGTGTCTGTGATCACTCTAGCGTCTGAGTGTCTGTGATCACTCTAGCGCCTGTGTGTCTGTGATCACTCTAGCGTCTGTGTGACTGAGATCACTCTAGTGTCTGTGTGTCTGTGATCACTCTAGCGTCTGTGTGTCTGTGATCACTCTAACACCTGTGTGTCTGTGATCACTCTAACGCCTGTAAGTCTGTGATCACTCTAGCGCCTGTGTGTCTGTGATCATTCTAGCACCTGAGTGTCTGTGATCACTCTAGCGTCTGAGTGTCTGTGATCACTCTAGCGCCTGTGTGACTGAGATCACTCTAGTGTCTGTGTGTCTGTGATCACTCTAGCGTCTGTGGGTCTGTGATCACTCTAGCGTCTGAGTGTCTGTGATCACTCTAGCGCCTGTGTGTCTGTGATCACTCTAGCACCTGTGTGTCTGTGATCACTCTAGCGTCTGTGTGACTGAGATCACTCTAGTGTCTGTGTGTCTGTGATCACTAACACCTGTGAGTCTGTGATCACTCTAGCGCCTGTGTGTCTGCGATCACTCTAGCACCTGTGTGTCTTTGATCACTCTAGCGCCTGTGAGTCTGTGATCACTATAGCGCCTGTGAGTCTGTGATCACTCTAGCACCTGTGTGTCTGTGATCACTCTAGCACCTGTGTGTCTGTGATCACTCTAGCACCTGTAAGCCTGTGATCACTCTAGCACCTGTGTGTCTGAGATCACTCTAGCGCCTGTGTGTTTGTGATCACTATAGCACCTGTGTGTCTGTGATCACTCTAGCGCCTGTGTGTTTGTGATCACTCTAACACATGTGTGTCTGTGATCACTCTAACGTTTGTGTGTCTGAGATCACTCTAACGTTTGTGTGTCTGTGATCACTCTAGCGTCTGTGATCACTCTAGTGCCTGTGTGTCTGTGATCACTCTAGTGTCTGCGTATCTGTGATCACTCTAGCGCCTGTGTGTCTGTGATCACTCTAGCACCTGTGTGTCTATGATCACTCTAGCACCTGTGTGTCTGTGATCACTCTAGCACCTGTGTGTCTGTGATCACTCTAGCACCTGTGTATCTGTGATCACTCTAACACCTGTGTGTCTGTGATCACTCTAGCACCTGTGTGTCTGTGATCACTCTAGCACCTGTGAGTCTGAGATCACTCTAACGTTTGTGTGTCTGTGATCACTCTAGCGTCTGTGATCACTCTAACACCTGTGTGTCAGTAGTAGGGATGACGGCGTAAAGAGGAATTTTGTTTTTTGGGGGGAAATTCCTCCATATGTCACAGGTTTTTCAGGTAAATTTGGTTAGTCACTGATTTGGAATTAAGGAATTCTTATGAGGAAAATAATTTCTGAGATTTTAGACGTTTCTTAAAAGTTCTTATGAGGAAAATAAGTAGGAAAATCTTATAGAAAAAATTCAGGAAAAAATCCCCTTTAGGACACATCATTTCCAGGTAAACTCTACGTACAACATTTGTCCGTTTTCAATCACACATTTTTCAAAGAGCATTTTCAGAGAATATTGTCTTAGACGTTTTGTTAAAGAAAACAGCCATCTTAGCCATGACATTTAGTTTTATATGCATTTAAGACCGAAAATTAGTCAAACCAGTTTAAGCTCAAAATTCGTCAGAGTCCACTTTGTTAGCAAATTCTTCAGAGTCAAGTTTTACCCTGAAAATTAACAGAGTCATGTTGCTCCAGAAAATAATCAGAGACCTGTAATCTGTGAAATTAGACAGAGTCCATTTTCAAACCAATTTTCATCAGAGTCCAATTAACAACAGAAATTCGTCAGAGTCCTGTAATCTACCAAAATTAGTCAGAGTCCACTTGGTGAGCAAAATTCGTCAGAGTCCATTTTCAAACCATTTTTCATCAGAGTCCATTTTATACTCAAAAATAATCAGAGTCCAATTAACGACAGAAAATCGTCAGAGTCCAGTTTGTGGCCAAAAATATTCAGAGTCCTGTAATCTACAAAATTTGACATAGTCCATTTTCTACCCAATTTTCATCAGAGTCCAGTTTATACCGAAAATTTGCCAGAGTCCACTTTGTGCCAAAATATTCAGAGTCCAGTTCATGATTGAAATTGAGTCCAATTGAAGACCCAAATTTGACAGAGACCACATTTTCGCTACTAGCATTCCAATCCCCCTGAAATTTTAAACAGTCATATTTCAGTCGTAGTAAATAAGATCAATTCAGTTACTGAGCTCCAGCTCTCGGCCCCCACCCTACATCCCCCTCAAGTCTTTGTTAATATCCTATCAATTCCCCCTGAAATTTTTACCCTTTGTATTTCAGACACCGAAAATAAGATCAAAACAGTTAACGAGCTCCAGCTCTCGTCCTCACCTTAGTTCTCTCTCGTATCTTTGTAAATAACCCATCAATTTCCCTGAAATTTTTACCCTCTGTATTTCAGACATAGTAAATATGATGTAAACAATTATAAAACTCTAGCTCTTGTCCTCTGTCCAAGTTCACTCCTGTAAATTCATTACTATCAGTCCAAATCCCCCTGAGATTTAAACACTCAACTACATTTTCAGACCCCCTGCAAATAAATGAAAAGCAAATTACCGAGTTCCAACTCATGTTCTTCACTTAGATCAATGTTCATCAAATTATTTCAGATCAAGCCTCTCTCCAGTCTATCAAAGTAAACATCATTTCCTTTAATACCCTTGGTGTACTCAGCTCTGTAATATTCACAGTCATATAACACCTTACCTTCAATGCCTTTTGTTTACCCAAGTAAGCAATAATCACACGGTCAAAATCTCACCGTACACTTTCCCTCCCTTACCTTCTCATCCCCAACTTATCCAATCTTCAATAATCCTACTGTATTTTCATATTTTCTCTATATTCACTGTGTTCTTCGTACTCTCATCCATGTTTTCTGTGTTCACTTCATGTTCAGCAAGTATTCGCAGCATGCTCAGTTCAAATTTTTTTCACCTGTTTTTCTCAATTTTTCTGTTTTCTACCATTTTCCCCGTATGTTCACTATGTTTTTGTCATGTTTTTCATGTACATCATATATTCTCTATACAACTTTTATACTCAATATTCATGTTTTCAATGTTCTTAGCTTGTTCTTCACATGTTCAGTGTTCATTCTTTGTATTCCCTATGTTCCTTATCATATCTTCATATTCTCTGTAAGTTCATATTCCCTGCATGTTCACTATGTTCATCAACTTTTCTTACATGTTTTCTGTGTTCACCGTATGTTCACTGTGTTCATTCCCTTACTTAACCTCAATTTTTTATGTTCTTTGTTTCTTTAAACCAATTTGTTTCTTCCATTCACTAACTAGTTCTTTGTCAAATATTATCATCGGCAATACAGTTCCCTCAACAATTTTAGTCACCCAGTTTTATTTGCAAAACTATGACAAAGTAATTCTCGTAGTCAACTTATTAGTTTTACCAACCCTTTTCTTAAACAAATCTACACTTTATTCAGTTCCAAATTTACAAAGACAAACCTTTCTT